AAGAGGGGAGGGAAAGGGAAAAGGCAGCAAGAAGGAAAACAGGCTCAGAAGAAGTACATTTAAGCCTCTTTATCTGGTTGTCCATGGTAGAGAAGTCCATCTTCTGGTCCTACTAAAGCTGTGATGAGAGAAACTCCTGGAAACCATTTTTTACCGTAAGACTTCCTTAAATCTTTTAGTATTTCAGGAGATGAATATCTGTGACTGTAAGCAGACTGAAAAAAGAAAAAAATAGGAAGACCATGGCATGTAAAGCATAAGAAGCAGCATGACAATTGCAGCAAACACAATGGAAGCACCCTGGGAGCCTCAGCACACGAGGGATGAGCACACATGGGACTGGTTCCCTGGACTCGGTTAAGGCCACAAAATTGTTCCCACTGTGGGGACCCGGTGCATGAGGTGGAACAAATCCAGCTGAATGGCACTTGAGCTGTCTGAACTTCCCTCTGCTTTTGAAGCTCCCAAGAATATTTGCAGTCTTTCAGGTACTGGGAGAGGGGGAGCAGGAGGTGCCTTCCTGCTCGGTGGTTGGAATAACAAACTCCAGTGGGTACCGCGGGCTGGCGCCCGGCCAGCAGACAGGCACAGCCAACACGGAGAAAAGGGTTTAATGCACTCACAAAGAATAACTACTGGGGGACAAAAGAGTGCTTGTATTTTTATTCTTTCCTTTTCCTGCTTCCAGGAAGCTTTAAATAGATTGATTAGGGGCATGCATGGGATATCTCTCTAACGAGGGAGTAGAGCTTTTTAATGGTGAGGTGATGCCAGCCTTGGATTCTTTCTTTATCCTTGTGTCTCACTGAATAGCAGAGTAGTCATGGTCTCGAGTCTCAGACAGCAGAGGAATACAATTTTCCACTCGGTCATCCATCCAGAGGGTGCTGGATGGGATTACTCCTTGATGAAGCACCAGGTGCAGACTGAGCAGTCTAGGGCTGCCCATCCCTCTCAGGAAGCAAATCAACAAGGGTGGCTGCTGGCTACAGTGCAAGTGTTCCCAGCCAAACTTTAGCTATAGGATTTGCTTCAGTAATTACCTCTACTTCAGTCTTATGACCCAACATGAGGCAAAATTACTCTTGGCCAAATTACAAGTTGCTGAGAGGTCTAGGGCATTCAGGCATGTGTCCTCGACCTGTTGGAGTGAGTTACAAGCAGGTGGGCAGTTTTTGTTCTCTGTCTTTTGCATATTTTCCAGAGAACTCAAAGGCCTGTAGTTATCAATAGATGCAGGAGTAGGAATGGGTCTTTTTATTCTTTAACACTAAGCAAACACATCCCTGCCACTGGGACCAGCAGAGAGTGTCATGCATGCCCGAGACAGCACATGATTGAAGGGGATGTTCCCTCTCTTCTGACCCCAGGGGCAAAATCCTTTCCTCTTTTATACACAGGCAACATTCAGACCACCATCCATATACCTCATCCTCTGATAATTAGGGAACCTAAATATGTGGCTCATGGTAACAATTCTATGTCTTCTAACAAGGGGAGCAGCGTTCCCCTAGGTCCCACTCCCTTTGAGCCGTGCTGCTATGACAGCAATGTGATTGTCACTGCCATGGTATGCTTAACCTTTGCCAAACCAGAGCTGAGGCATTAACTCAGATCCTCAACCCACATGTCTTAAAGGGCAATGTAACCTGTGCTGCCTCAGCCCAACACAGTCTGCAGCTCAGTAATAACAAGCATGAAAATGTGACAAGCATGAGCCGTAAAAATGATTGATGCAACTAGAAAAATAACAAAGAGAAGCTGAAAAATAGCAATGAGGAGGAGGAATTCCTGGGACCAGTGTCTCCATGGCACCAGCAGCCCCCTACTCTGACATCAGAAGAGAGGCTACACTCGCCTGTAGTAGAAAGGATCTCCATACCACACAATGAAATTCCAGCAAACAGGACAAGGACTGATGGTGTCTGGAAGTGGCAGTGCCACTGCTATCCAGATAATAGTTTGAATTAGATTATGTGAGAAAAGGAGGAATATATAGACGACCAGCTGCTCGAAGGCTTACTACAACCTTGCTTTTATTGTTCTGCTAAGTTAGAGGTGGGGCATCAGAGGGATTCCTAACATACCACTACTAAGAAATTTTAATATGTTCCACACTGACACATATAAAAAGGAAATAACAGCTGATCACAGCCAGCAGAGACTGCCACATCTCTTTATATGCATGGACAGAAGTATAGTCAAAGTGGGGTGCTCTTGGCTCAGACACCTGGGCTAACCTGACCCAACTAAACCTTTCTTCTGCCACTGAGTTGAGTTTCAGCAAATGGACTGTCAAGTGTGAAGTCAGGCAGCAGAAAAAAAGGGTGATCTGGACATGGCTATTCACCCCATCCTGAGATACCAGGACATGGAGAAGGGCAGGGGAGCTGAGAGGCAGAACACTTAACACTGATGAAAAGAAACACGTGTTTACACAAGCGACAATGATCCGGGGGAACAAGATATCGCAGAGGGCAAAAGTTTAGCTGGGCTCAGCAAAAGGACCTGTTGTGTATGGGGGGGTTACAGTCACAGGGGCTTCATTTCTGAAGGGTTTTTGGAAGGGCTGTAAACCCTCAGGACTCTGAGAGCTCAGTGGATGGGGTTAGGGAAAAATCCTTTGCCCCAGCAAGTTACCCTGTAGCTGCTGCCACAGGGACTTTGTGTCTTTCTTTGATGTGGCCTCTTCCAGAGGTGGATTGCCCTAATAACAGGGGGCAACAGTCTCATGTAGCAAAACCTTCCTAAAACTCACAGGGACAAGTTTCTCCTCATACTCAGAAGGAGTATGAGAGAGAGAAATTTGGAATACTTATAATACAACTATCAAATATTTATAATTGTAATTAAAATAGCGCTTGGGAGGTGGGGAGGGGGAAAGAGAGGATTTTGTTTTCTTTCAGTTAGACAAATAACCCACCAGACAAGTTGCAAAAATTAACGTTTCAGTGGTTTCATGAACGCTTTCACCATAGATAGTCAATTCTCTCCAAGTTCAAGGACAACTTTAAGCACTTCCTAGTGCATCTGAGAGCTGACAAGCCAGGAAGGGAGCAAAGTCAGCCCCAGGAGAAATAGGAAATGAAGCCAACCACGGGAGGATTCCCTGTCAGATGAGTCACAGCAGGCATCAGTGTGAGCTCCCAAGGAGGCACCTTCTTTCTCTCCCACCTGGGCAAGAGAGACTGCAGTCCTGGCCAAGCAAGAAGGCAAAAATATGCAGATGCTACCACAAGCCTCAAAGGTGAGTGAGGGATAGTTCCAGTGGGGAAGATGGCTTTTGTGGAAATCAGCCATCATGCCTAAGGAGCTACCTGGGGTGCTGCTACTGCAAACTGTACCCAAGACTGTCTAACAAATATCCTGCTCTGCAAAGGCCAGTCATCAGCACACATTAATCTGATCCAAACCAGGCACTGCACAAACCCAGGAAACCTACATGGGACACCTTCAAGTAGAGAAATGAGCCTGCAACTGATCATCAGCAGACCCTAATTATACCTTGTCCCTAAATTAAATTGCATTTTACTTTGTAAGCTTGAAATACCTGTTCCTTCCACATTTTTTTTTAACTGGAAAATCTTACAGCATTGTTTTATAATGCAAAATAAGATTTCATTAGCAGTAAGAGCATATCACTGTATATATAAGCCACATTGGGAATCCCTGATTCAAGCTGATAAGTAGTTACTCACCAAATAGTTCTATTTATGTCCATTCATATGTATGACTACTCGCAAATAGTAGTAAGGTCCCACAGCAAGGGCAAAAGTGAGTATTATTAGAAATCCAAAAGGAAGGGAGAAAAATAATACGTGCAGGTCCTAAAATGTGTATATATTCTTTCAAGGAGGGATAAATAACAACTCTGTGATTATTACAGCCACAGTTATTGCCACACCAGGCAGCAGGATTGCTTCTATTAGAAAATAACTTTGCAATAAAGCACTGATTTCAAGTGAGTTTGTCCCCACTGTTGGTTTTAAATAATCGTTTGCCTTCAAGTGACCTCATCCTATTACTGGCTATTAAAAAGTCTTTTGCCAGTCCTTTTTCAACAGGCAGAGTTCCTTCCTCTCAGCCACGGTTATAAAGCTTTAGGAGCTCTAAGTACCATGCAGAATATAGGAAATATATGTTTCATCTCTAAAGAGCTGCAGAAACCTTAAGGAGTTGCTGTCTCTTCCCAGCAGAAACAAGTAAAGTTGTGTTATAGGGAGGCTATGAGAGAAAGTTCAATGAATTTGTCGGGTAAGATAAGAATTAAGTCAGTGCACACACAGGCAGGCACACACTCACCTCATCTTGCAAATCCCAATTTGTCACGAGAAAATCTCCCCCCAGCACACGCTGTATGTGACCCTGTAGCAGCGGCTAACCCAGTCCTGAGACTGGGCTTTGTTACTCGGTTCTTTGCTGCTGGACCCACTCGCCTGAACTTCTGCAGGACGAGTTCACTCACCTGGACGCCAGCAGGGAGCCGGGGCTGTTCCCGAGCCGCGCTCTGCTCGGGGCGGCTCCGGTTCCACTACGCTGACACTCGGTCACCGGGCTCACCGCAGCGGAGCGCTCCTTTCGTCCCAGAGAAGCAGAGGACAGCCATGCCCGTGCCTCTGGCGCTGACACACAGGGAAATGCTCTGCCGGGAGCGGAAAGCCTCCCTCTCTCCTTCAGCGGGCGGTCTGGGGTCGCGCAGCATCCTCCCGTGTCAGCCACGCCGCGCTCCGGGTCCCGCCGGCCGCCTCCCAAATATACCCGGGCACCACAGCAAAGCCGAGCACCGGGGCTTTCCTCACAGCCCTCAGCCAATAAACAGCGCGTGCTAAATCTGTCCTAATCCACAGCCAGCGCTGTCCGGTCCATTGGAAAGCCTTGCGGAAGTTTGGATAAATAGTAATGCGCGAATTACGAGCGCTCCCGCGAAGCGTGAGGCACAAAGCTAGAAATAAATATTGCCTGTTGTTTCAAATTATTCTGAGCACTCCAGCAGATGACTGGCAAGAGAACAGCAGGCGTAAGTGGCGCTAGAAGTAAACAGTCCAACTTTAAAGTAGCAGGCTTGCCCGTGCTCGTAGAGCCCCGTTGCAGTGGGACAAAGGGGGTGCTGGCGGTACCGGCGCTGTCTCGGTGGATTCAGGGCAGAGCCCGGCATGTCCCCTCACTCCGGGGACACCAGCTGTGACCAGCACCGAGCTGCAGACTGGAGCTCAGCACGATCACAAGAATGGGTGTTAAACCCAATTGCTCAGAAGCACCCTGGGCCACCTATTTGACCACATACGGGCAACCTTCAGACTGGAGATAAGGACACAAGAATAAGGAGACACGGGGACTAGAGCTGTGTTGATTCCATTTAAACACGGTTTAATTAAAAAAAAAACGGTACAAGGAGAACATGTCTTTGTCAGATAAAGAGATTAAACACACAGTTTAAGTCCATGTAATACTCAAAATCTGTAGGAATCTCTTATTTGCATGCTTACCTTTGGAAAATGCACCGCTCCTTCCTTCCCTCAAACTCTTTGGGAAGCTAAAAGAAGTCCTGTTACTTCCAAATGCTTTTGTTCTTCTGTCCCTCTGTCACATGGCTTGCCTTTTATATTTGCAACACAAAAAAGTAAGGGCTGTTGTTTAAGAGAGAGAGGGAGAGAGAGGGAGAGAGGGGGAATGTCAAATGGAAAAGTGCCATTGCAGTCATATATCAATCAGGGCAGCAGCAGCAGCAGCTCGCTGGCAAATGGGAATTCCACAGAAATGTGAAGCTCTTGTTATCTGAGAAATCAAAAACACCACCAGCCAATCTCCCTTCTGCAGGGACTTCTTATAATTGGCAAGCCAGGAAATAGAAGGAAATGTAGGCGCTTTTTTAATTGCTGTTATTGTTTCAGATCTGGAGATAAGGGCGCTGTGGCATGTGTAAAACAGTGGAATATAAATCCTGAATCAAATTCCTTCCTAAACAAATGGACCATGTGCAAGATAAAGCAAACCACTGAGAAACAAGGTAATGGAGCTAAGTGAAGAATCTGACAGTAATGATTTAAAGAATTTGATAACTGTTTGCACTTGGAAAATATCCATAGAAAAACTACCTGCTCCCTGGATTACTCATTAATCTCTTTTTTTTTTATTCCTGACCAGTTTTTCTTAGACTTTTTTTAACTGTGATTGATCTCAGATAGCATTAATTCAAGATATGCTGCTTCACTACAATTGGTTGACTAGATCATCTGGCATTCTCTGGCTCTCCAGTTGGGTAAGCAGGCAAGCACTTTCTGTATAAATACTTCTCTGCAAATCTGAGATTCCCCTGCTTCCAACAACTTGCCCTGAAATTCTGAAGTTTCTGTCATATAAAATCAGAACTTTGCTCAGAGAAGAAAACATTGTCTTTCTCCTTTACACACCTTCTCTGAAGAAGGCCAAGTTTGAAAGAAATTATTCTTAAAATATTTCATAAAATATTATGGTTCTATGCAAAAAAAAACCAAAAAAAAAAAAAAAAAAAAAAAAAACCAAAAAAAACCCCAAAAAACAAACCCAAACAAACAAACAAACAAACAAAAAAAATGCCCTGAGAGGCTAAAGGCAGGTTCCATCCACTGGCAAACCCCATTTAGAACAAGCACATCACAGCTCTGGATGCACCAAACCCTCTTCTCTGCAGAGGAGGGTGTTTCTCTTCCCTGTGGAGTGCGCCCTACTCATCCTGCAGGATTGTGTGAAGCACAGACCTAAGCTGGTTAATTAAAAAATAGGCAACATAGCTGGCCATTCACAAGCTGGATCTGTTCAGAGGCACTGGCTAGCAGATGGACAGGTTCTGTGTCAATTGTGTTTGAACTCTAAAGGCAAGTTGGTATTTGATGGATGATGTTATTAGCTAAATGTCTTATGTGGTATAAGATCAAAGAACAGATGGGAATTATGCCTTAAAAACAGAATAATCTAAAAGGAGAATGGCTTTTAGATGAGTAAGCATCATGGAAACAATAAAGGAAACTTTCTTTGGCTTGCTTTGCTGCACAGCCAGGTTTGACCAGTGGGATAAACAAACAACCCACTTAGAACCAAAATTCTTAAGATGTCAGTTTTGCTGCACATTTTCCCCTTCATATTCAGTGTTTACATTGTTTTGCCTCTTGAGTCAACCTTGTGTTTCTCTCCCTGACCAAATGTGTCCCAGCGCTCTGTTCCCTCACAAATGCCACTGAGGTCACCCAGGGTGGGTGGTGGCAAAGCTCAGCAGCACCTTCCCCTCACTGTAACCACAGACTGAGACTGCTGCTCTGGCACAGCTCTCAATTTAAACAGAGAAACTGCACACAGAAACCTTTGTTAATTAGCCAGCACCCTCCTTTAAAATGAAGGCTATTGGTCATTGTATTGCTGTGTTTTCTGTCCTTTTCCACTGGCAAGAAAGTGATTTAAATACTCTGGTTACTCTCACTAAGAACCTCCCACGTGCAGGACAAAGTGGCTTCTGCATGAAATCCTCCAGGAGACAGTGGATATCCTACTCATGGTCCTCACTAAAAATGGCACTTTAGGTTTTTTTTACTGGCAACACTTAGGCTTCTTATCTTTGTGTCATCTGCAGGTGACAATATCTGTATTTTTTTTCTGTTGGGTGCTAAGAATACTAAACCATTACCAATTACTCCTCAGACTCCTCCTATTTTTGAGATGTAGTGCTCAGCAGTTTGCTACCACAATACATACCCTTAGTACATATAAACCAGCAAAAGTGACTTCCAATTTTTTTATCTTCAGCTTCCAGACTCTGTTTAGCAGCCAGTTGAAGTTAATCAGCAATTAATTGACTGCACAGCCTGGTGACTTATAAACTGACACTCTCATTTGTGGCCTTCTGACTGAACTTGCACATGATCACAAGCTCAAAAGTAGAAACATTTAATGTAGCCTTCCCCCAACTCAAGAACACTGTGGTCCATAACTTTTTCATAGCTGCTCATAAATCTTTAGCCTCTCTCAAACACCGTGCCTTAATCCCACCCATAAAACCAGACATTTTGAAGAAACAAATAAAAGCAGAAAGAACAGGAGCTCAGAGCTCAGTTTTCAAAGACCACTAGACATCTGAGATGACCCCAGATATAAGATAATATTTCCAAAAGATTTAAGGTATTCTGCTCCCATCAGTTCTGATCTGAGTTCCTTTCAAAAGAGGCTTATCTCACTTAGAAGTATTGGCCTGAAAACTAAATTTAGGCTCTTCCAGAGGCAAATGTAGAGTTTCCATTCCAAATTGCTTCCAGTCCAGGCCCAGTTCAGATTGACATCAGCATCAGTTTTTCTCTGTGTAAACAACCATAGATATTCTGTTGACTCAGTTGCATTAAATATATGCAATTTTTTTTTTAATAGAGAATCAAGTGAGATAAATCCCTTCCTTGTAGTCTCAGGATGTACTTTTGAAGAGATGGAGACCCACTATTTCATGGAGATGTACCAAACTCCCTAGTTCAACTCCCTCAATCCCCATAAAGTGCATTGGAGACCTACAACTCCATTCTTGATTCCACCACCACTGTATGACCTGCAAGACTCAAGTTTGTCCTCAGAAAAGCATTGGATTACCTTTAGCTGCAGTTCAATGGGACCCAAATGTTTTCCCTGCTGGCACCATCAACCCCATGCTCCTTCTTCAAAGGAGCAGGATTCCACCTCTCCATCATGCATGTGTTGTGAAACGCATTCAGACTTGTGCAGAAAACTCAGTATTTCGTTTTCATCTTATGGATTTCCCAGTGCTGCCACTTTGTATTCATCCTCAGGCAATTTTGACATTCTGAGACAGCAGGTAACAGACCACAAAATCATCAAATGTTCTGTCAGAACAGGCATTGCTTGGTATCTGTGCTGGTTGTGTCTGCAAAGACCAGGAAAGGAGCATGAACACAAGGACAACCTTTAAATGTAGATACAGACTCCCACACAGGCAAAACCATTGCACCCCTTTGGTGGAAGCAGTTGGAGGGAGTGGGATGCACAGGAATGCAGTTCAGGGAAAGGCCATGCTTTGTTCCATTATTGAATTGATGAAGGAGGGTTTATATCTGGGGATAGGCCATCAGTATTCCTCTCATAGTTGTGAATGTAGGAGGAACTGAAAGCATTGTAATGGCAATCTGCAGCAACAAAAAATGTAATACTTATAGAATGAATTTATACTTTGCATATGTAAGAGGTACTCAGAATTCTTAGAGGAATGTTTTTCTATAATTTTAATAATAAAAATAAATATTAGGCAAATAATATTCCCAATAAATAAAACTACATAACCACATACAGCAATGAAGAAGCAGGTGGCACAGAAATCTGTTTAGACACTGAAAGCTTTTCATCTTTCTCCCCATGGTGCTTTATCTCAGATTTGTTATGCAAGGATATTTAAATACCTAAACACACATAATCTTCTGTAAACTAAATGTGTCTCTTCTTTCAATGTTTATATGTATTAATGAATGTGTGCTGTTAAGAAACAGTAAATGGAAATATTTATTCAGTAATTTACACAAATACTGTTATTACAGCAAGACTCCTGTCATCTGGGGATAAGGCTGCAATGGAGAAGTCTGTGGAAATTAGGTCTAAATTAAATGCTTATTAATTTTAAGACAGAAAGATATATTGGCTGTAGACAATACTTAGCCTTTAGACTGACTTGAAAATGCAGCTGCAGGAGGACCAGAAGTTGGTGTTCCCCTGGCTCCTTCAGCAGGAATAAGCAGTTGGCCAGGTAGGGTCACCTCCTCAGAAGTGTGCTGCCCACAAGGCACAAATTGCTGTGGACTATCAGTGCTTAAGAATGACAAGCTGAGGATCCTGACAATGCCATGTGCCAAGGGGAGATCCTGGATGAACATCGTGGCCATGGCTGGGGGAGAGGCAGGCCATGCTGTGGCACAGGAAGGGTTTAATGAGTGGTTCAGGCACACAAAGTCACAACCAGTCACTCACCAGGAGCCCTGATGGACAGTTTGCACAGGACAAGAGAAGAAGCCTGGATTCCTGTGTATTTTTTCTCTATTTACCTCATGGTTACCCACTCAGATTTTCCCCTACATAACCATCAGCTCCTTGATCTCCACATCTCTTGATAATTTGAATTTAAACTCTTTGCCCTTTGCTCACTCCCACAATTTTTTCATTTGCTTTTAAAGCCCCTACAAGACTGCTGGCTGAGCAAGGGGCAGCACACCCTCACTGAATAGCAAACACATCCTGTGGCTTCTTGCCTCCCCAGTTGTGAGTGCTTCGGTTTCCCTCTGCAGGAGAGCAATAGGATGCAACATTCCTGCCCAAGCATCACACCTCTTCACATGTCCAAGAAATTGTCCAGAAACTTAGTTTTCTCTGTAAGATCTCAGCCTTGCTGTTAAAATTGATTTAATTTGAGGAGCTGGATGAAAAACTGTAAGGAGACACTAACATCAGGGCCGAGAGACAAAAAGCAACTCAGTTCTACAAGAAACTTGTAAATAAATAAGAGAGTAAAAATATCTGTTCTACCTTCAGGCTGCTGAAAGATGGAGTGCCTTTTCCCTAGAAGAGACTGTTGTCACTGTGATCCTTGTCCCCATCCCCTTTGGAGCAACTGTCTGCACCTCTCTGATGTCCTTTGTCACTATTTTATGCCTAATGGAGAAAGAGAAAAGCTGCTGTGTTTCCCTGAATTTCAACAGCATGGATCAACAGTTCTGCAGACACTTGTGAGTTTTACCCACCCTTCCTGAAGGCAGCTGTGTCAGTCTCAGCTGGGCTCCTCTCCCTGTCAGTGGAAACCACAAACAGGTCCTGCCTGAAGGGCTGCTCATTTTGCTCCTGATGGGAGGTGGAACTCCCTTTTGGCAGTATCTGTTTATCTCTATTAATAACAAAAGGAGCCAAGAGTCAGCTTGATTTAGTCATCCAGCTGTTGAACACCTTAGTTAGGGCAGATGAATTCCACCTTCAAGGTTGTTTCTAATTATCTTATAAGCACGTGCAGTAGATGCTTAACCTATCAGCTCAACATCTGCAGTTGCACATAGGTCAATGTCAAATATCACACCTTTTTCCAAGGCTGCAGGGAAAGTTTTGCATCAAACACTGTGGGATAATGACACCTGATGTGCAGTGAGCAATTTGCAGCACATGGCTTCCACCTGATAGAGAGAGAAAGAATCTCTCTGGGAAAACTGTAACATGTCAGATGTTTATCTGAGTGCCAAAGAATGTGGAAGCTTGCATGTGGAAATTTCTCCAGTGTTTGTTTCTCCAGGTCCCCACACAGGTGATGTGTGGTACACCTTGGGCATCTCTCTACCCCACCGTCCCAAACCACAAACAATAACATTCCTGCTGATTCCTGTCCCCAGTGTTTCTCAAGAGGTCTGAATTTGTCAGAAAGTCCTAAACAGCTCCCAGTGGCACAGCTGGAAGTTTTGCATGAATACAAACTGAGGGTTAAGGATTCTAAATGTGGTTTGAAGTAGCTTCCCTCAGCAAGGGTCAGATCCTGAGGGCTCCCTTGAGTCTTGCATGTCACTGAGCATCAGACTGCAGCTTCATTCCTAGGATGCTTTGCACAAGATGGAGAAAACTCTAAGGTAGCAGGAATATCTCCTCTCCATTGAGAAAAGCATCATTGCCTTCCTCAGGACAACATCAAGTTATGATTGTGGTTTGAACAATACTTCCATAAAGACTGAAAACTATCCAAAAATTTGCTTAGAGCTGTAAAACTGACCTGGCAAGATACAGCCAGCTACTAACAATAGCAACCTTATTTTATTGCAGTCTCCTGCCAATACCCACAAAATATTATTTTCTTGCAGTAAAAATGCAATAAGCAAAGTGCAGAAGATGTTTTTCTATGCTATGTACTATGAAAAATTAAAGTGAAATCTTTTGTCTATGACTCAGGTTTGTGTGGCCACTCCCTGTGCAACACCTCATGTTTTAAAAGGAGGCACTAAATGAAATTCAGTCTCAGCTAGACAGTTTGGGTTAAATCTGCAGGTCAACTCATCATATGGGAAGTTTCTGAGAAGAAATGCTTTTTAGAGCAGGAAATTGGTGATTCATAATTGACATTAACTCCAGTTACCCTCCAATGTTCATGCTGTACTTCATGTGAAATTATTATAAGGAAAGAAAGGCCGTTCCCTTGAGCAAGTTCAAGTTAATGTTTAGGAAACCATTTAAGTTATTATTAGGACAAAAGTCATTCCAGTAGAATGGTCAGATGCTCAGACTGTGCCCCAAGCTGCAAAGCCTGTGCATTATACTACCCCTTTGCAGGTAGCTCTTCAGACATTTGGTCATTTTGGCCAATTCAACAAAATCCTGACTTCACCAGTGTCCCAGTCAAATCTCCCACCTACTGGACAGAGCCAGAAATTAGTAATATTTTAGCACTAGTTGCAGTGAAATCCATGCTGGTGTCCAGTTTTACACACACAGGTCCCTGTGAGGAATTCCTGGAGGAGGTGGGAGCAGAGCCACAAGGACATTCCCACACGTGGGCAGCCCCAAAGCAATATTGGTCCCATACTGTCAGATACCAAAATTGTAGAATGATACAATTCAGCTGGTGGAATGAGACAGCCCAGGGCTGGATCCTCACCTAATGAAAGCCAAAAATGCCCTGTGGCTTTTGCTGTAAGCTGTGACCTTGAACCAGGGGCAAATCTGGTGCCCCCACTGCCTGGTCCTTGTCAGCTGGGTGCTTTGCCTCTTGGTGTCCACAGCAGAGATGAAGCTCTCTGAGGTTCTTCAGAATACTGCCCTTGATTTAGTCTAAATGGACATATGAACTCAATTATCTCACCATAACATTAGCATAGAATAAGAAATTAAGTAGACCTTGTTATGGATTTTGGTGTGAGTAAAGCTTTGGCATCTTATGCAATTTTTTATGATTTTGTTCTTTTCTGAATAGAAGCAGAAATATCTTTCTAATATAGAATGGGCCTTAAACTGCGAGTGTAAATCAGAGGCAGGCTTCAGGCAAAGAAAGAGATTAAAGACTCATGCAGTTATAAATTTAAGTACGTTTGAGCTTGAGAAAAGCACTTTAAACTACTGCCTCATTATTACTTTTAGAAAAGAGGGATTTGGATTCTTCTCTACAAGGAACTCTGCAGTCCCAGTGCTGTGCATGACTAAGGACCCCAGAAGAAAAGCCAGTCACTCTCCACAGCTAGTCAAGCTCCTGGAGCACAGAGAGGTGACAGGAGATGGAAAGCCAAAGCATCCTCCATCCTCTTTGAGCTGCTACTTGGGCTGTGACAAGTGAGACAACAGAAGGATTTTTCTGGGGGGTAGCAAGAGCATCAGCACCCAGCCTCGGGAGCAAAACTGGGAAAACATTCTTCGTATGAGACCAGAGCTGCAAAAAGTCCTGGCAGGGCTGAAGCATGCTGGAGTTGGAAAGAACACCAGAAAAGGGTATAAACTGTGGTGTACTGAGAGTGAAAGGCTGAGAGAACTTGCAAGACAAAGGCAGAAGAGGCAGGAGAATGAGCCATTCATTCATGGTTCCAAATAATCCTCAGTTCTGCTGGGCAAAAGAATCATTGTAGAAATGTGAGTCCTGTACTTCATCTGAAAGCTAAAAAAGATAAATAAGAGGTTATCAAACAGAGGCTGGAAACAGGAAAGTTTGGCTTCACCTAGCAGAGCCAAAGCTACAAGACAGCTCCAGGAGCTTCAGGAACATACCACTGGCAAGAGCCTCTCTTGGAATTACTGCCTGGGTTAGAACTTGGAGGCTACTGCAAGAAGCAGAATTAACTCCGGAGCAAGGAACTAGGATTTCCCAAGCAAAGGAAGTCAATCAGAACAGGCTGAGGCTGATGCAAGGCTGCACAGAGACTGAAAAGAGCCCTGAAATGGGAGGCAAAGCCCAGTCTGCTGCAGTGGGAGACACTGAAAACCAGATATCGTGTACATACCTTGGCAAGCCACAGCTGAGCCCAGCATCTGGGAAATGAAACAGGTTACCTTTTCTGGGAAAGAATCAACATGAATCCGTGGTGCACAGCATGGGAGAGGATGGTGACAGCACCATTAGAAGCAAGGGGCTTATTTACAGGAGCCATGAAAAATGCTGTGGGGCAAGATAAAAGGACAGCCAGCCCATAGGCAAATGGCAATAATCAATTTTCAGCTGGACAGAGCTGCACAAGCTGACAAGGGTCTGACAGGGTTACGAGCACTGAGAGAAAAGCTACAGGCAGAATAAAGGAAGAGAAGAAAGAGCTCAGGACTGCTCTTCACTGAAGGAGATAAAGGCAAATGAAAGAGAGAGTTCATAATAATGTCAGGGGTTTTTAAAATGTCACATCCTTGATCTCACCCCCAGGGTGAGCACACTGCAACAGAACAACAGCAGAAATGGCTGGGCGACTCTAAACTGGAGAAGAGAGCACAAAAACAGCTCCATGTCCCCATCTCCACAGGGGTGGCTGGAGCCTGGCACCCCCAGCCCAGGGTGAGGTTTGAAGCACACTGCTGTGAGAATCAGTACTCCACATCCATCCACAGGAAGAAATGTTACTTCCTTGCAAATAAGGAAAATTAAGTCATTATGTGAAGTTATGAGGGCAAGTTTTCCTCTCTGCCCAGAGGGAATGGCTTCTAGGGGGCAGCTGACAGCACATACAACAACTGGCACACCCAGGAGTGCTCTGGTGCTGACAGTCCAGAGGAGGAACATGAAGATGCTTAGAGGCATGGAACACCTCCCACAGGAAAAAAGGCTGAGAGAATTGGGATTGTTCAGCCTGGAGAAGAGAAAGCTCCAAGGCAACCCTATTGCAGCCTTCCCGTGCCTGAAAAGAGATTTAAACTGGAAAGGAACTTTCAAAAGGGCATATAGGGATAGGACAAGGGATGATAGCTTTAAACTAAAGGAGGGTAGGTTTAGATTATATATTAGGAGGAAATTCTTTGCTGTGAGGGTGGTGAGGCATTAGAATATATTGCCCAAAGAAGTTGTGGGTGTTTTATCCCCTCCTCAATTGAACCTCCCCTAGGGCTCTGTGGTTGATGCAGTAAGATGTGTTGTATTGTGGCACAATTGTTTACTGAGTTAAGAGAATCAAATAGTGAAGGCCAAATGAAATGGTTTTGCTTCTTCAGAGCAGAAATTCTCACAATAATTAAAATCAAGCCTTATGATACAGATATGCAATATCATGGTTTGATGACTTTGTTTTTCTAAGGATTTGGGTTGTGTTTTTTTCTGAGATTATTACATTTTCACAGAACATTTCATTTGCATTTATGCTGTACTGTCCTGTAGAAAATTATGTCATTAGAAAACATAATTTACCTCTTCTGGAGTTTTGCAAGAGCAAAATTGCAATTCAGAGTGTCTGTAGCTGTAAATCAAGCACACTTATTTCAATGGCCTGGTCTGCAGAGCTGGAGAGGCCAGCTCTACCCATCCAGTTTGTAATGAATTGATGAACATCCCTGCTCCCCACACGAGTCTCAGACTGCTCATAATGCTCAAGCATTGATGTCTCTATATGAGCAGTTTCTTTAATTACCATTGCCAATTCTGATTTTCCAGGTAAAGGCAGCCACCTTGATCAAATGTTGGAATCATTTATCACCTGTCATGAAGGAGAAAGTCTCTTGGCATCCCCCTGTGCAGTAAGATATGCTTTGATCTCAAAGCATTCTATCTACAGTGTAGTAAGACAAAGCACCACCTGCTATGAAGCTTGACAGACTATATAAAATATAATTTCTGTACATTACCATCTTGTCTGACATAAAAGAATCACATAAGAGAACAAGAAGCAAAAAAAAAAAAAAAAATGTCAGAACTGTAGTCGCAGGCACAAATAACTTTAATTTATGGCAGGCTTAATAAAATAGGTTTTCTTCCAAATACACAACTCTTTCCAGGAGCTGTGCAGTGACTTCATTTATATGTTCTTAAGTGAAAAGAATGCCTGTAGTCAATACAGTGCTACCAAATGAAAAATAAAAAGATCCAGAAGATCTGATGTGTCGGTCAGTCTTGTGTGTACAAAGTACCAGAAATCTAAAGATAAGGGCTAAACCCACAAGTCAACATGTAATTAATTTTCAGATCTTCAGGTGGTAGAACTCCATTAGCAGCAACACCCAGCAGCCTCCCAGATGCACAGGGATGAGCAGAAACATTGTCAGGAAAGATGAGTTCCAGTTCCCACTAATGGACATCACCACATCCAGGTCCTTCAGATGATCCAGAGGTGATCCATCCAACTCCCAAAGGGAAACCAAAATCCTGCTGTTCATTAGCAGATTCTAGGGTCCAGGCACATCCCCTCATGACATGCAAGGCATCAAGATCCTGCACTTCCATTCCTTTATACACATGGCATTTTGTGGGGCACTGTCTTTCAGGCAGACCAAAGAGGTCCTACTGCAATTAATGCAATGTTCACTTCTCATTTAGATTCAAGTACACTGCCAGAAATTGGTAGCTAGGGTTACTCAACCCTGCAAAGTCGAGGTTTTTTTCTTGTTTGCTTTCCAAATGAAAAATATTTTTCAGTTGTGTTTTTGATGGGGGAAACCAACACATCTATCACCCCTGACACATTTTTTTATTCTCTCAGTAGCAAACATCTGTCTTAATGAAAGAACTTCAAAGAAAGCCAAAGTGATTTTTTCATGCTATGAATTTGCCCCGACTTTAATCATGTTGAAATGTCATCTTCCATTTTCTGTTATGTCCTTATAAATAAGATTATCCTGCTACTGTTCTGCAAATTTGTTTATAGGAAAAAAATTCCAAGCCCCATTTCTTGCTCTCTATTAAAGTTTGAAGTTTGTTCTTAAAACTTCCTGGAAGCAGAACAAAAATGGTTTAAATTGTCACTTGGCTGGAAAAAGACATGCTCAGCGGGAAAAGAGCAGGGAGATACTACGAGCAAACAAGGCTAATTAATATTCTTGAACTTAATGAATCTCTAATTTTCGAGTGTCCAACCTACAGCTGCTACTGCCAGCCAAGCCTGACGTTTCTACATTTTCTTTTGACATTTGAAGATTAAGTAAATCATGTTTATGTGTGATAGTACCAGCACACACTTGACTCCAGTCTCTCCCCACCTCTGCAGGACCTGTCGCCAAAGGGATGCCATGGAAACAGCATCGGGTGAAGATGGCCAGGAACACACACCCATGCAGGAGACCATCACAACTAATTAATCTCCTGATTAAAGAGAGCATTGGCAAAATCTCCAGCTCTTCCCTTCTGTGCTGAGCAGTTGCTATTGGTCTATGTTCATGTGCAAATATACCTGATAGGCATGTGCTTGTTATCTCTAGATTTGTGTTTATTTACCACTTCAATTTTTAGTGAGGATACAATTCAGGATACCAGTTCTTGGCCACTGTTTGTTTTGCAAAGTAAACATGAAGCAATTGACTGTAAGTATCGAGTCTGCAGTGTTTTACTGAGGTCTGATTAGAGAACCACTAAAATCTCCTTAAAGGCAATCCACTTTCTAAATGTTTCTCAAAGGTATCTAGGATTGCCTTGCAGAATCAGAATATTGAGCTTGCTTTTATTGTCATTTACTTCTGACCCTGCCTCATGTGGCTGCAAGTTCATTTCAGCAACTTTTGCTGATGGTGAGAACAGACTTGAGTCATTTTTCTTGAGGATTCCCATTCTGTATGGAGAATGAAAAGAGTTGAGTCAGACAGGGATGAAGAGAGGAGTGGGAGTGGGAGGG